TTACAACTAGGACCAACTGAACATTTTCAATGTAGGTTTTTAAATGTTGATTTCCACCACTGTACTATAATAGGTTTTCCATTTAGGTGCTGATGAAGGTGACAACATATCACCGAAAATTTCACATTTAGAATAAAGTTCTACACTAAATGGCTTATACCATCTCTAGCTGATCCTTGTTTTGACGCTTTCCGATAGTTATCCTCCAAAGAATTGTATTCTTAGCGTCGTTATACAAACTCTATATATATATATATATATATATATATATATATATATATATATATTATATATATATACAATATAAATCCATTCCAAAATTAGACATAATAAGCTCAGTGGAGAAAATATCTCAATGTTTACCAACCCACAAAAAGGAAGGATACAGAGTGTTATGTGAAATTGAATTGGAAAAGTCTATTAAAATTGAACAAAACATAAGCAAAGAGGAACTAAAGGCTATAAGAACTTTAAAAAATGACGACTCCATAATCATCCTACCAGCAGACAAGGGGAATGCAACTGTGATTATGGATAAAATTCAATATGAAAACAAAATTAGAGATCTAATAATAAACGGACCTCATACAAAATTAACAAAGGATCCAACAAATCCTTTGGAAAACAAAATATATAGAACTTTATTCAAGTTTAAAGACTGTTAACAAGTTATCAGAGAGGATTAATTACACCTCATTATAGTAAGACCCCTCATTTTTATGGAGTACAGAGAATTCATAAAACGAATATACCACTTAGACCCATTTGTATTACAATGAATTCTCCTTGTAGTGAACTATCAAAATTTTTATTAAATATTTTAAAACCATTTGGAACTAAAAATGACACATTCAAAAAAAATACAAAACATTTTTTAAATAAATTATCAAATATTAAATTTAATTCAAATAATACTTTGATAAGTTTTGACATAAATAGTATATTTACGAATGTGCCATTAAATAAGACTTTAAATATAGTAAAGACATAATTAGAGAGTGACGATTCATAGGCAACTCGAACATGACTAAACATATCGGCTATAATGGAGTTATTAACATTATGTACTAATAATACATATTTTCAACTAAATAATGAATTCTATAAACAAAATTTTGGTCTAGCAATGGGCTCTAGTTTATCTCAATTATTAGCCGATATATTTATGGAAGATTTTGAAACAAATATCATTCCAAACAAAATTTAAAACCCACAGTATGGTGGAGGTATGTAGATGATGTATTCTCAATATGGCCTCAGGGATCAGAGTTGTTGGACACATTCCTATAGTCCTTTTCCATCATATTGATAGCACATTATGTATGCAAATCCTCAACAGGTCAAAAAACCATAGGCGTCACCCTATAATTGTTTTGAAATAAATAAAAAAAAATTAATATTTTAAGATGCCGTCAACAATTCATTATCTTTTAAAAAATCTTCTGTAAAATAAGTGTCCACTAATCTCACTATACCTTTTTTGTGCGTAAAAAACGTCGGTATATATGCCACAAGATTATTGTTAATTATAAACGGGTCATTAACGAGAGAATTCAATGTTTCACGAAATAAGTTAATGTAAACAGTAATTTAAAGGTGATTATTGTTTTCTATACAAGTTATCGCCTGACACAAAAAGAATACCTTTTTTGAACGATTACCAGGAATTACTGATAAGGCTTCACTAATGATAGTTTAAGTAGTTTTTATGCCACATTGCAGCTTATGTCAATAATATAAATTACAAATTGTTTGCATCTTCCATTTAGTTTGTAGATGTACATTGTTCATGTCTTACCTACCTACGTTTTTGGTGTCGATATTTTGTTATTTGCATTTAAAAATGACGTCGACAACAGGTTTTATCCCGGTTAAGTGTAGTTTTAAAGGTGCCTTCAGTCTAAGAGAAAAAAATATAATATTAAATGTACACGATGCACTTGTACATCAACGCCCTTCAAGTAATGTTCGTGAAATCGTTAACATGTGTTCAAATATGACAGGGGTTGGAGAAGCAACAATTTATAGATTCCTAAAAGAAAGAAAAGGAGGAACTGTTTCATCTCCCAAGAAGAGTGGAGGGAGTAAATCCTTGGAAATTGAAGAAATACATAAAAACATGATAAGACGCAGCGTCCACTCATTTTTTTTTTAACAAAGAATTTCCAACATTGGACAAAATCCAAACATTAATTAGAGAAAACGAAGTGTTACCAATCATAAGCAACAAGAAATTATGGGGACTATTGAAAGAGATGGGATTTCGTTGGCAAAAGAATAGAAGAAAATCCGTTTTAATTGAAAAAGATTACATTGTATGTTGGAGATGAGATTATCTAAGAACTATTAAAAAGTACCGAGAAGAAGGGAAAACAATTTTTTATCATTCATTCATCGAAGGTGTATCTACTGGAATAAACAATATTTCCGTTGGAAAAGGACGCAGACTCATAATAACCCATATTGGAAACGAATAAGGTTTTGTCAATGGTGGATTATTAAGTTTTGCCTCAAAATCAACCAAAAATTACCACGAAGAAATGACTGCTGACGTTTTTGAAGAATATTTTGAGCAAATGTTGGATTTAATTTCAAATAATTTTGTCATAGTCATGGATAATGCTAGTTACTATTCAAGACTAGCAGAAAAATTGCCAACAACGGCATGGAAAAAAGGAGAGATAATCGAATGGTTGGATAAACACGCAATTGAGTACAAGAAGAATTCGACAAAAAAGGAATAACATAAAGCAGCTTATAAAAAATATGTAATTGATGAAATGACATTAAACCGTGATTTAATTATTTTACCTTTACCCCCATACCACTGTGATCTGAATCCGATAGAAAATATATGGTCTCAAGTAAAGGGTGAAGTCGGACGCAACAACAAAACTTTTAAATTAGAAGACTTACAACAATTATTAGAACATTTCTTATCAAAAGTAACTCCAGAAAATTGGAAAAATGCTGTTAGTCATGCTCACAAGGAAGAAAATAAAATGTGGAATTTGGATAATATGACTGATGCAATGCTGGAACCGGTAATAATAAACATTGGAGTTGAAGATTCCTTAGATTCTGAAGAAAGCAGTGAATCTGAAATGGAATTTGATTAAAATAATATTCATTTTTTTACAAATCGGCCCCTGTTACGGCCACAAATTATTTTATATGATATAACTAATAAAATAAACATCTTACATTTCTTGCAAATTCATTAGTACCTGTTAATCTCCATCACTCCGACACTGGCAACTTTATTTAGGGATTAGTAACCCTCAAAACTATTGTATTCTATTCTGCTTCAACCTTTATACCTGGTGGTTATACTCAATTTAAAATTGTTTTCCTATATACTTCTGTAAACTTCTTGACAAATATCTATTTTTCATTGAGTCACCCGTATCAACAGTTTAGGGATTTGCATACATAATGTGCTATCAATATGATGGAAATGGACTATAACTGATATAAACGATAAAGGAGAGACAATAACATTTACCATGGAAAAGGAATATAATAACACGCTACCTTACCTGGATGTTTTAATCTCTAAGAACGATACTGAGTATGAGACTCAGGTGTATAGAAAACCAACACACACCAATAGATATTTAAATTTCAAATAAAACCACAATATTAATATTAAAAAGGGAATAATTAAATCCTTATACGATAGAGCCAAAATTACTTGTTCTGAAAATTAGTTTTTGGAGGAAAAACACTTGTTAACATCTGTTTTATTAAAAAATGATTATCCTTTATCGTGTATAAATTAGGAATTTTCAACAATCGATCAAATAGAACAGAATAACTTAGAACGAGATCCTACAGCATAGACAAGAAATAATACGAGGAAAATAACAATATCGTACATAAAAGGAAAAACTTAAAAGGATAGGAAATAAATTCAACATTTCAACAAAATTCAAAAACAACAAAAACGTTGAAATCTATTTTATCCAAGACCAAACCTTACAATCAACAAGAAAGGACAAAGAATTGCATTTGTGAATGCGATCAGTTTAAGTAAGGCCATTAAATGTTAGAATAAGTAAACATCAATCTTACATTAAAAATAGAGAATTTGATAGATCTTAAATATGTAAACACGCATGGGATAATAAACATAGGGTTCAATAATGGAATAATTTAAATGTAGTTCTAAAAGAAACGGATGGTAAAAAAAATCAAAGAAGCGGCTCTATTATGCCAAATGAGAACAATTGTGTCGCAAATTCCTCGGCGGAATGTAGCAGGATCTTGTTACCAATATTGAAAGAGGAAGTTATTAATAAGAAAATACCAGTATAAGTAAGTCAATAACATATAAAGGATACATTATTTATGTATCCTATGGAATATAGTAATTTACTATGGAGTCACTAACAGGAGAATTTTACTGTCATCATGTCATGTGTTTGTCTTTTTAGATTTACATAGCAAGACGAATTACATGCTATGAGTTTTTTCTGACGGATATTCTCAAGTTAAAGTTGATTTCATGTAATCGAATGAACTATCTTATAAGTAAAGTCGTCCCAGGAGCGCAACTCAACAATATTGGTAATATCATTTTAAAGTTGTCTCCTTTAAAATGCATAATGTATGTCTGAATTGTCAATATAAATGAGTCAGATAAAATTAAATTATTAGAAGAATTTTTTACTAAGTAACAAAAAAACATAACTTGTTTAATTTACTGTTTGTATTTTGAAAACGATTTCCGAAGTGGAAATTGAAACGTCAATAAACGTATTTTTACCTTTAATTGTGGCTTATTCCCAGTTAAATAGTAATTAATTTACAATATAAAATTAAAAATGAGAACGTTAAAATGTTACACTTTATCTACTTTATTGTATGGGATGGAAAGCTTGACATTCAAAAGTACTGAGACCGTTACAAAAAAGTGCGAGTTATTAAAATAATTAAAGGATGAAAACTGGAATAACTGAGCTAACTCAGGTTAAATAAACTTTTATACAAAACTCTACCTTTTAATTCCAAGAATGAATTCAACTCCTGCGGAAGATATAGCTTCGTGTACTTCAAAATGAGTCAAGGTAGCTGTCGACTTATTATTTACATTCACAATTATATCTCCTTTTCTTAGCCCAGCTGTTTCAGCAAGACTGTCTTCATTTACCTGTAAAAGATATTCTCTTTAATATTTTACCACGCAATGATAAAGAGATTTAAAATTAAGCAAATTAGTTTTTATTTTAGATCTGCTAATGATGTCTTTATATTAATTTGAGTTTACGATTATTAAATAAATAAAAATGAATAATAAATCAGAAACCACATGTAATTGTAAATAATCTTAAATCAAAGACTTCTTCGCAAATAGGTGCACAAAATGGATCTAAGTCACATATTGCCGCAATTAAAATTTGAAGTGATATAAAACTATCAGAACAGAAAGAAATTTTTTTAACAATTTTAATAACAATCTGCAAATATTGATCAAGACTTTGCAAATTGCAAATATCTAAAAATCATACAATTGAAACTGAAGATAAAAACATTGGCAAAAAAATAAAACTATTTATGAATTAAAAACAAAAAGATTTTCTTTAGATATGAAATTAGATATAGATCAACCAGAGTTAAGTGTAGATTATGACCATAAGATTAGAAACAACAAAAACAGCAATACGAGGAAGGAAAAAAAAGGTGGAACATCTCAAGGATCTATTATTAGTTCAACACTATTCTTAGTAGCGATGAATAAAATCGTAGAAAACTTCCCAAAATTTGTTAAGGTGAGATTATAAACTAATGATTTAGTTATATATTTAACAGGAAAAAATATTCTTTCTATACAGAACAACTTACAATGTACATCGAATCACCTTGAAAACTGGTCCAAATATGTGGGATTGTTATTCTCTACAACCAAACCAAATGTATTTTATTAAAAAAAAAAACACTTGGGGAACCATCTTTGAAATAACATACGCATCATCTATATATGCGATAAAATCTGCATCTCACTTTCTATCACACTATCGCTGAACGTTTTAAATAAACTTATGTAAATAAAAAAAAGACGAAACCTCCCTTTTACGAGAGAATCAGAAGATCTCTCCATAATATTCAGTTCCCAAATTTTTTGTTCAGAGAAAGTCACACCTTCTCCCAGGACCTTTCCTCCTACAATATGTGATCTAACTCTTTCTAAATATAATAAGCTTAAGACATTCATGCAACAATTACTCAATCCTCATACATCATGGTTTCCCAGATCATTGACAGATCTATACAGATTCATCCAAAATTATTGATGGTGTGGGATCAGCAGTAATAGCTGAGAACATTATATTACAGTTTAAATTATCTTTCACTTTTACTTAACAAATACGTTTACTAAACAACGCGAAGCAGCACGCTTTATATGGGTTCCATCACGTATTGGACTTGAAGGAAACAAAAAAGCAGATTTTCATGCCATAGAAGTAATACATAGTGTCTCGTCAGTGTTAATGAACTTAGTGTCTGTTTTCGTCTACAAATCGTTCCTTAAAGAAAATGTGAAAAATGAATGGGAAAACGAATGGGATCTTTCACAATCAATTCTAAACATCGTAAAGTCCCCAACCGAATCTTGGTGCGAGATTAACTTAAATCGCCAGCTTTTTGTTAACATAACCCATTTACGTATAGGTCGTAGTAGACTAACTCACAGCTACCTAATTTCCAAATCAAATCGCCCTATTTGTGACATATGTAACTGCGACATTAATGTAACACATATCTTATTAGATAGAGAACATTTACCAGAACAACAATATGGAAGTCAGAATAGATGACCAGCTTACAGATCCAATAGATATGGGCAATGGAATAAGACAAGGAGACTCGCTTAGTCCAACGCTATTCAATCTAATCATGGATGAAATCATCAATACTATTAATAAAGGAAGAGGATACAAAATGGGAAACAAAGAAATCAGAATACTTTGCTATGCAGATGATGCGGCCCTAATTGCATCCAATGAAGACGATCTACAAAGGTTCTACATAGATTCAACACAAGAGCAAAGGACTTAATATGGTGATCTCTACACAGAAAACTAAAACAATTGTAATCAGTAAAGAACCAATTAGATGTAAACTGGAAATCGACGGTATCAGCATTGAGCAAGTAATGGAGACAAATTACCTAGGAATTACACTGTCTAGCTACGGAGATGTGGAGAAGGAAGTGAAAAATCAAGTACAAAAGGCTAATAAAATAGCAGGTTGTCTTAATAACACGATATGGCGCAATCCCCACATTAATACCGAAGTGAAATCAAAAATCTACAAAGCAACAATAAGACCAATAATGACATACACTTCAGAGACAAGACCGGATACCTCCAAAACTCAGCAACTACTAGAAACAGCGGAGATGCGTTTACTGAGGAGAATTACAGGAAACACACTGAGGGATCGAATGAGGAGTGAAGAGATCAGAAGAAAATGCAATATACCAGAAATAAATGAGTGGACACTGAACAGAAAAAAGGAATGGAACGAACACATAAACAGAATGAAAGAGACCCGATTAGTCAGAATAGCGAGGGACAAATCACCAAAAGGTAGAAGAAGTATCGGGCGACCACGCAAAAGATGGAGTGATAACCTCCAATAGAGGCATTGATCGACATTGAACAAGCATTTTGCTTATAAAAAAGAAGAAGAAGAAGAAGAATATCTTATTAGAGTGTCCTAAATATATTAGTGAAAGACAAAAACACTCAATACCTAACAATATAAAAGCAGTCTTGGGAGTACATTGTAAATTTACAAATATATGTTTAATTACTTGAAAGATATTGATGTTTTAAACAAACTGTAACTGTTATTGTTTTGTAAACCTTATTAATACATTATAAAACATGACATTTTTACTTAATTATGAACCTAACAACCATTAAAAAATACTGTTTAGATTTAAGTAATTATGTATTAATTATAGTCGAGCTAATACCCCAAAGTGGTTGATGCTGTTATTATAACCGACTAATAATTATTGAAAGACCAGTATCATATCGTCTATTGGAAAGCTTTGCGCGAAAAAAACTAAATACCCGAATATAAAGAGAAATTACGAAGATTGAAGAAAACAGTGGATTTCAAACAGGATGATGCTTCGTTGACAACATATTTAAACTAAAGGATATCTCACTCTTCAACTATGATAACTGAAGATATTATTTAGTGGAAATGATCACAAAAGCATAGACGTATATGCCTATTTTGGCATCTAATATTCTGGAATTTACAACTTACTTATCCCTCCAGCGGCGACGTAAGAAATTTACACATTACTGATGACCTCGGTCTGTTAGACCGATAGAGACATATCGCTTATTATATTCTTATAAACACATATTTTTAAATAATTAAACTTAGTAAAGGGCTAAGATGTAATAGTTTACAAAAATGTTTTTGTAAACCAAAAAAGTAAAAAAATAAAAAAAGTAATAGAACAAGTAATTGTTGATATTAAATGTTCGAGATATAAGGAATTTGCTGCAAATATTGCAGCTATATTTTGTTTTCCTATTTTGTTTAGAGGTACAAATTTGGCAACCTCCATCTTGTGGCAACGGCCGATGTATCTGATGCATTTCTGTGGATATCTCCATATTGGTTCTATTCTTTCTCGGATCGGACGTAGTATGTGTTGATCTGCTTATCTTCCTATCGCATGTCTTTTTCACGAGACCTCTGGATATTTCTGTCAAAAAACTCCTTGTGCGATATGCTCTATCTTCTTTTTGATTACATTTTTAATTTACAAATAAGTAGAGCAAATTGAGTGGGGCTTAAAAGACCACAGGATTTTGTGTAGTTCTATCGAGTTGATTTCTTGATTTCTTCTATATAACACATGCACTCTCACAGGTCTTCAAGTATTTAACATTTGGTTAATGGAAAACCATTTGGTTGTTTACCAACAGATACCTTCATATTGGTGGTATAAAACATTTTAGCATCTGCAAAAAAAATAGCAGGCTTGGGGGATATACTTTTGAAATGTACAGTTTCTACGAAACGCTACTAATATCTCGTCTATGGTCATGTATTGAGATGGATTGAAATTATTGGCAAAACATAAATCTCGAATTAGAGCTAGTATATCTACAGCTTGTCTGGTTTCTGTTTTCTTATGTATCATAGCCATCAAATCTTAGAGAAAAAAAGGGAACGTTTTTGTGACATAGTCAAAAGAAACAACTCACAAAACTTTCATTATAATTCACTCTATTCATTTTGTTAACTACAGCTAAGTTCAATAAACTAACCAATGCTTTCATCAGTAAGCCTCGTGTAAGTAATTTCTCAATATGCGATATAAGTAACAATGGTATTGATAATAGAGTCGCCAAAAAACTTTTTCCATATTTCTGCAGGGTCAGTCAAATTGTGGGTAACCCGTTTTGGCCCAGTAATTGTGTAACAGTGTTTTTTGATGTTGACCTATAGCTTTTTAAATTCATTGGTGGACAGTGTTTCTTCCATGACGTCGCTTTATCTTTGCCAGTATAACATGGACTGTCATTATTTTTCTTTAATTTAGTGAAAGTTACATTTTTTGCTTTCTATTTCTCGACGTCTTGTCCGTCAGATATATTCTTATCAATTTCTGAAACATTTTCGCCAAACTCTTGTTCGCTTATCGTATGTCTTTCTTCTAAATAGTTTTCCTCATTGTCATCATCGTTTTCATTATATTACAAGTTAAGTGCACCATCTGACAGAGCTTTTTGGATGAGTTGTTGTAATCCTGCTTGGTTTCTTTCGTAACTCATTTTTCTGTAATAGAAACGATTGCTGTAGGAATGTTTCTTGTAATAACGAAAGTTGTAACTCATGTCATTATATTTGAATCGAAATTCTACCTTTTTCATGAACAATTTATTAATGACTAGCTAATAATGTTAGAAATACATGAAAACAGTAAGTGAATGAGATCAATTTCTAATAGGGAATAATGAATGCTATTATTATTTAATAAAAAATAATGAACAAATACCATTAGTAGTGCATAAAAGAAATAAAAATCTCACTCTTAATGAACAAACCGTGGTTAGTCAAATTTTTTTATATACGATTTTGGTAACGTACGGTCTGAGAACTAATAATTAGTTA